ATGCAATCTGAAATGGGATGTGTTGGTGTGAATTTCTGGTACAAAGGGCCTCCTTTGGTCTTCAATTTCGTCCATCTACTTGGCTTCAAGTATATGCAATCCATTTAACGCCCCAAACTACTCCAAAATGCATCTTTTTGCTCCTTTAGCCCTTTGGACCTACAAACACACGAAAATAGCTTAAAGTACTAAAATAACTAAAGAAACATAACGTAAATGCACGAGAACAAGCCATTTAAGTCGCATGAATATGCTCCTATCAGCGACAATTGTGGAGGGTATTATAAGAATTAAAAATAGGGAGTTTAACGAAAAGCCCGTAGTACTGTTCACTTTAATGAAAAATCAATTTTTTTACACTAAAAAGTCAAACCTGGTACTATTCACTTTACCCTTTATTTTGTCTTTATCATTAAAACTCAAAGTTTTCATGTCATTTTCATTAGTTTTCCTTTAAAAATATTCATTAAATGCTTAGCTTTGCTTTTTATAAAAAGTAAAATTTAAAAGTAACCTACAAGTTGCTTTTAAAAATTGTTCTCTAGAGGCGATTGTGTTAAAAATAGGTACGATATATGTGTAGAGAGTAAGTTAGATGTAAAAAAAGGTTATATGAGTTCAAATAAAATTCTCATTTGTTTTTGTTATGGATAATGCTAGGAAAACCAAATTTTTAACAAAAATGCTACTTTTACCATCTAGTTGTACTATCATTTGTACTATCTCTCTAATAGATATGAAACTCATATGCGTTGACGGGCCTTACCTCTATTAAAGAGATGGTACAAGTAGGTGGTAAGTGTAACATTACTCAATTTTAACCCAATTTACAAATTAAATAACATGTCCCCAATAGAAAATACACGTTAATCAACACTTAACTAATAATTAACAATCATGTCATTTGCTTTTAATACTGACAACACTTCGACTGAAATAATTAGCAAGTCTACTTCTCTTTTGTGCCGTGTTTGAGACGAAATGACACCCAAATTTGGCTAAGATGACTAAGAACCCAAAGAAATTTGCCATCCTATAAAAACAATATGATTGCGACGCTAATGGTGCAAATACAAGTCCACCTTGTAGCAGATATTTTTGCTCCTCATTTTTTTTTCTATTTAAATTTGCAAGGGCATTTTCTAGTCTATATAAATCTGATGCAAGTTTGTATTTTGAGATGTAAACTACTTGCACGTGCATGCTTTAGTTGTGCTCCAGCTTAGGCATTGAGTACTCTTTGATCTCCTTAACAGTATCTGTTTGTTATTGTGAGATAATTTGTGGTTTGTGTTAACCTAAAATGTGATCCATTTTTTCGCTGTAGTTAATATCAAATCAATAGTGAATGGCCATATATATCTTGGTCATCCAAATTTTGTGACACTAGTTTCAAAATGACCATAAGCAGCAGTCTTTTGGTACCTGAACTTTGGTCTCCCATGTGAAAGTGACTCTGTGTTTGTGCAAGTGATGTTAACCCTAAAAAGATTTTGAAGAATTTTTATGGTGGAACTATAGCCTTTGATTGATCTGTCTCCTCTATTAAAGTTATTATTTATTTGTACTGCGCTTTCTCTTTTTTCTTCCATTTGCCACCTTCGGCTACTGAAAAAGAAATAAAATTATATAAATTTCTTTAAGAAGTTTCTGTTTTTATAAATATTTGTTGTTCTGGGTTCTGAGGTTTCATGTTATTTAATTTAATCTGCTTAATATTTCTTCTTTATTCTCCAATGTTTCAGGTCTTTTGGGATTATCAAATGGTTTGATAAATATTACAGAAAACACTCGGTATTAGATAAATCACCTTATTTATCTTTTTGTTTTGTTAGATGTAAATATTGTAGTCATATTAATGTACTGCAAATTTTGTGACACTAGTTTCAAAATGACCATAAGCAGCAGTCTTTTGGTACCTGAACTTTGGTCTCCCATGACAAAATTTGGATGACCAAGATATATATGGCCATTCACTATTGATTTGATATTAACTACAGCGAAAAAATGGATCACATTTTAGGTTAACACAAACCACAAATTATCTCACAATAACAAACAGATACTGTTAAGGAGATCAAAGAGTACTCAATGCCTAAGCTGGAGCACAACTAAAGCATGCACGTGCAAGTAGTTTACATCTCAAAATACAAACTTGCATCAGATTTATATAGACTAGAAAATGCCCTTGCAAATTTAAATAGAAAAAAAAATGAGGAGCAAAAATATCTGCTACAAGGTGGACTTGTATTTGCACCATTAGCGTCGCAATCATATTGTTTTTATAGGATGGCAAATTTCTTTGGGTTCTTAGTCATCTTAGCCAAATTTGGGTGTCATTTCGTCTCAAACACGGCACAAAAGAGAAGTAGACTTGCTAATTATTTCAGTCGAAGTGTTGTCAGTATTAAAAGCAAATGACATGATTGTTAATTATTAGTTAAGTGTTGATTAACGTGTATTTTCTATTGGGGACATGTTATTTAATTTGTAAATTTGGTTAAAATTGAGTAATGTTACACTTACCACCTACTTGTACCATCTCTCTAATAGAGAGGTAAGGCTCGTCAACGCATATGAGTTTCATATCTATTAGAGAGATAGTACAAATGAAAGTACAACTAGATGGTAAAAGTAGCATTTTTGTTAAAAATTTGGTTTTCCTAGCATTATCCATAACAAAAACAAATGAGAATTTTATTTGAACTCATATAACCTTTTTTTACACCTAACTTACTCTCTACACATATATCGTACCTATTTTTAACACAATCGCCTCTAGAGAACAATTTTTAAAAGCAACTTGTAGGTTACTTTTAAATTTTACTTTTTATAAAAAGCAAAGCTAAGCATTTAATGAAAATTTTTAAAGGAAAATTAATGAAAATGACTTGAAAACTTTGAGTTTTAATGATAAAGACAAAATAAAGGGTAAAGTGAATAGTACCAGGTTTGACTTTTTAGTGTAAAAAAATTGATTTTTCATTAAAACGAACAGTACCACGGGCTTTTTGTTAAACTCCCTATTTTTAATTCTTATAATACCCTCCACAATTGTCGCTACCATCACCACCACTACCCCCACCACTGCTGTTGTTGCCACCACCCCCACAACTATGCCTATGTTTGTTATTATATACAATAGTATCATTTTTCCATTAAATTTACCAAATGCTTTTACACTCATTTTCATACTAGCACTACATTCAAAATCAATAACTATGAAATTTGATAACAAAAGTGCAGAATACATAGATATGCTTTTAATGTGTGAATCTAAACCTTTGTATTGAAGGCAATGATTGCTGACGATGAAACTTTGGTCATCAAATGCCTAAGAGAACATGACTCGAGAAGATTATATAGGCACATTTTTTTTTTTTTTTTTTATACAAAATTATAAATAGTAAGAGTTGAAGCTAAGCTAAATAATCTTTTAGTGTTAAACCTCCATTAAGATCACCTCCAAATGAGATGTCAAATTTTAAACATAAAATTTAAATTTAATAGCTTACATGTTACTTTGACCTCTTTTAAAGTTTCTCTCTCTACTTGATATATCAAAATTTAAATATAAAATGAAAATTCGTATTTATTTTCTTTGCATTGGTAATGTAAGAAAAAGAATTAAAAAATTATAAAAATATTTAAACATTGCATTGGTGATGAAAAAAAAAGGGCAATGCTTAAATCAATAAAAAAATTTAATTAAAAAAATTGAAGTTGCTATCAAATTTGTCAGCAAGGAGGAGAAATGTCATTCCATGTCATGTCACATCAGATTTGGCTTCTCGGTTGGAAAACATGGCTGCTGTTTTTTTTTTACCGTTATTATTGATTTGGACATTTTGATATCTCCTTTGAAGATACTCCAATGAGGTCGAACCTAAGACTTTTTACCTACAAATAAAGAATAGTACCTTAAATGGTAATACTAGTGATAGACATATTTTCTTCAAATATTGTTCTTTTTTATTTACTCTTTTATATACAAAAGTTCAAGTCGCACTCACGTACAACATAATTCTTGAAAGTTTTAGAATTTTCAAACTATACTTCAAATATTTAAAAGAAAACATTATTTTGATTCCAAAACAATATGAATTTTGCTCTTGATTGATGCTTTTTGATAGTTCAAATGAATAATTTAAGAACGTCTCATAACAAAAAATTATAGTTGGTTGGTATCGCCATTGGCTAGTATTTTTGTTCTAGAAGTTCATCTTTTCTCATCTATGATCACCCTTCTCTTTTACATGATTTTTGAGAGCACCCACTATTTCCTTGGCAATGGCTACACTAGACAACCATTGCTACATACTAATATTTCCTCATTTCTTTCTTATTAAGGACCTCAAAACCCGGAAGACGCTTTTTCGAGGGAGATGTGAGAATGGATTGTACCCATTTCCTGGTGAGGGTGGATTTTCCAACTATCCTATTTCAGTGTGTGTTGATGTTAGAGTCTCACCTCAAAAGTGGCATTTACGTCTTGGTCATCCTGCTTCGTCAATTATTAGGTTTTTGATTGCAAATAACAAAGTATCATCACATAGTACTAGTACTGTAACGTTTTGTGATTCTTGTCCATTGGGCAAAAGCACTAAACTACTGTTTAGCAAGTCTGTGTCCGTGTCTCATTGTCCATTGGAACTTTTGCATTCTGATGTTTGGAGTTCACCTATTATTTCTTATGAAGGTTTTCGTTATTATATGTTGTTTGTGGATGACTACCATTGGATTACAATCCAAATGTGCCACTAAGATGTAATCTTAGAGTTAGTGATCTATGTTGACACATGTACCTATCTTATAGGGTAGATTACATGGATGGTTGGATTTGATTGTAATGGAAAGAGAGAATCTCTCTCTCTCTTCTAACGGTAATATATACCCACACATGTTTCATGTGAGGTGTGATGAATGCAAGCATTTTTGTGAAGAACATTCCCTCTCTCTTTCTACAACTTCTGTAAAATTTCAGAAAATTTACATCACCATTTTTGATAATTTCCATTAAATTGAGATCATAATCTCTTAGATTTTAACATGGTCTCGGAGCTAGGTTCGATCGTTTGATATTGGGTGTTTGAATATGTGAAGAAATCAGTTTGAAATTCGAAGAAATTGCTTGAGTTTGATGCAAAGAAGAAAGAAAAAGAAGAATCTAGCATTGCTGGGTGATGACTCTCATGGAGAAGCTCATGAAGGATGCCAAAGCTTTGGGGCTGATTCAGGGAGCTATCTTTGATGAGATATTTCCTCAGATCTCTCATGAAGAAGCCTTGAAGGGAGCATGGGATGTCTTACTGCAAGAATTTCATGGCGATAAACATGTTAGAAGTGTTAAATTACAAGGTCTTAGTAGGGAATTTGAATATACCAGAATGAGAGATGATGAGTCCTTTTTTGTTTATCTTACAAAATTGTTTGATCTAGTTAATCAAATGAGAAGCTATAGAGAGGAATTATCTAAAGAGAGAATTGTGCAAAAAATGATAATTAGTTTGCCCTCTTCATATGATCCTATATGTTATCTGTTTGAGCATTCAAAGGATATAAATGTGATTGAGGTTCAAGAAGTTGTTGCTTCATTGAAGAGTTTTGCACAAAGGTTGGAGAGGCACAATGAGAACAAAATTGAAAGAGCCTTGGCTAGTCTCAGTGTGAACCCAAAACATACTAATTCTTCTAGAAATCGAAGCAATCGATACCAGAAAAATTGGAAACCAAAATTCAAAATGTGGGATCGAAAGCCTACTTATCAATCTGGATGGCAAACTACAACTACAGATGATGGTGGGAATCCTTGCAGATATTGTGATAAGTATCATTATGGTGAATGCTTTCTTAAAGGCAAACCTAAATGTCATAGATATGGAAAAATTGGTCACATTGCAAGCGACTGCAATAACAAGAAAAATGTTCAGCAGTTGAATTATGCAAATCAGATTTCCCTTACACCAACTATATTTTATGTCAGTAATGCAATTAATATGAAGTCTATTATAGATGTGTGGTATGTGGACAGTGGTTGTAGTAACCACATGACTAGTAGAGAAGATATGCTAGTTGATATTGATAGAAATATAACTGCAAAGGTTGAAATGGGCACAAGACATCTAGTTGATGTTATTGGAAAAGGAAGCTTGATGGTTGGCACTAAAATGTGTAGGAGATATAGCAAGGAAGTCATGTTAGTCTCTGGTTTAAATGAGAATCTACTTAGTGTGAGGCAAATGATGGAGTATGGATACTTTCTTATTTTTTGGGACAACAAGGTTGAGATTTATGATGACTGCTCTCTCTTTAATCTGCTTGCCAAAGTACCAATGAAATGAAACAGAAGTTTTCCTTTGAGACTTCAAATTGATTTACACATTGCATTTAGGGCAAATATGAGTAAGTCAACCTTGATCTGGCATAGAAGAATGGGACACTTGAATATAAACAGTTTGAAGTTGTTTCAAGAGCATGAAATGGTGCTCAGTTTACCAGAGATCAAAAACACCAAGGAAGTGTGTGAGGGCTGCATTCTTGAAAAACATTGTAGAGATGTTTTTCCAAACGAGACAACAAGTAGAGCTTTTATCCCTTTGGAATTGGTACACACTGATGTTTGTGAACCAATGCAAACTATTACAAAAGCTGGAAATAGGTATTTTCTCACTTTCATTGATGATTTTACTTAGATATGCTAGGTTTATTTCTTGAGATACAAGTATGAGGTATTCAATGTAAGAAGTTTAAGGCTATTGGTGAACTGCAAAGTGGCTATAAGTTGAAGAAACAGAGAACTGATAGAGGAGAAGAGTATACATCTATGAAGTTCAACAAGTTTTGTGAAGAAATGAGAATGGAAAGATAGCTCATAGTGGCTTACTCACCAACAGAATGGTGTGGCTGAAAGAAAAAATAGAACTGTTGTGGAGATGGAAAAGTGTATGATGGTTGAAAACAAGATACCACTTGAGTTTTAGGCTGAAGCAGTTAACACTGCTATGTATGTTTTAAACAAACGTCCAACTAAGGCCTTGGATAAGAAAACTCCCTTTGAAGCTTGGAAGAAATCCAGGGATTAGACACTTAAGAGTGTTTGGTTCTCTATGTTACTTACATGTTCTAGACTAACAGAGGCATAAACTTGACTTATCAAGCACAAGATGTCTATTTCTGGGATAGGGAAGCTGTGAAAAGGGTTACAAGTTGTACAACATTGAATCAGGAAAAGTCATTATTTCCAGAGATGTAGTTTTAAATGAAGAAGCATGCTGGGATTGGAGTACACAAGAAGAAAGAAGTATTTCAGTTCCACTTACTGAAATGTCAGATGAGAAGAAAAAATAGACCTGTGAATCAAGTTTAGCTCAAGTTGAGATATCAAAGTTGCATGATGAGATATCTAGAAATCCTGAAGAATCACATGTTGAGATAATTGTTACAGAACAAAGTGAAGGTTCAGATTCACATATTTTGATCATACTCTACTTAAATACAAAAATATTGCAGAACTGTAACTTGTGCATTATTGGGACAGAAACCTTTAAAGAGGCATCCAAAGATGACTCATGGTAGAAAGCCATGGAGAATGAGATTACAATGACAGAGAAGAACAATGCTTGGGAGTTGGTTAGTAGACCATCTAATAAACCAGTAATTGGTGTCAAATGGGTCTACAAAACCAAATTGAACCTTGATGGCTCTGTGCAGAAAAACAAAGCAAGGTTGGTTGCCAAAGGCTATTCTCAGAAGCCAGGTGTACTTTCAATGAAACTTTTGCCCTTCAAGGCTTGATACAATTAGGACACTTGTTGCACTGGCTGTACAGAAAGGATAGAAACTGTTTTCTATTTGATGTGAAGTTAGCATTTCCAAATGGAGTGTTACATGAAGAGGTATATGTTGATCAACCTCATGGCTTTGTGATTAAAAACAAGGAATATAAAGTTTACAGACTCAAGAAGGCATTATATGGTCTTAAACAAGATATAAGAGCTTGGTATGAGGAGATCAATTCTTATTTCACTGAGGCTGGTTTTCATAGAAGTCCTAGTGAAGCAACACTATATATCAAGACTTTTAAGAGTGGAATACTCATTGTTTCATTGTATGTAGATGACATCATCTACACAGGGTGTCACGCCCCAGTCCCAACATATGTCCATAATTGACACGTGACATCACCAAAAATCCATATCCATCATACACCACCTCCGGAATATGGGCAAAGCACAACTCAATAATCGAATCGCATAGAAATTTTGTGTATGCCTTTATGGTTGCATCTAACCTCCCCCGTTAAATTGCCTACGTACCCTAAGCAGGGATCAAGTTATTCGTCATTCGTCATGCACAATAATTGACATATATCACAGTTCGATTAAGTCGAAAGGCATAACATTTCTCAATCAATCAATAGAATTTGACAAGCATGAAATTACTCGACTCAGGGTTACATAACAAACCCACCTGAAAATCATGATTTCCCCTCCATCTATATATAGGTCATTATGTTGCAACATGATACCGCAATTCACAACATATATCATTTCAAAGAACCAACGAAGCACAATACCATTCTCTAGCCACATTTATCAACAAGTCTAATCATAACAATAACAATGATATCCAACATAACAATCCCACATGACGATTAACATTTCCACTTCATCCATCACATAATTCATCACGTTTCCCACTGTATCATAGTTAAGAATTAACAAAGTACACATTATTCTCTAGAAATATTAATCAACTAAAATACTCATGATAACCACACTCATATCCAACGTCATTCCATAATCACATCAATCAATAATGTCAACCATCACATCATCAATAACACATACAATATGTCGAAACGCAAGGCTAGAGCAACACAATTCAGTTGAAGACTACATCTTTGGAAAAAGGGGATTTTGGACCACCCAACGGACCAAGGCACCAAAGGGGATTCTGAACCATCACTCAACGGAATCCAAGCAAAACTCAGTTCCAGACCACCCAACAGAATTGAACGGAAGTCCAAAAGGCATAACAACGGCTCGAAGGAACAAGACATGATTCAAGTTACTCAATTCACGAAAACTCAACGAAACGAAGCAATATCGAGCACAAATCCACATCACAATTGGTTATCGGTCAATTACTAGACCTCACATCTCCCAAGCAAATCAATATGCATTTCAATCACATGTCACAACCATTTCCAATACACAAGTCAAATCACATTTCACTTCATCATACCAATCACTATGCTTCCAACATTATATCTCAATACGTAGCTTGTAACATATCAAGGAATCACGAAGCACAATATTAATATTTAATTACGTTAATCAATCAGTGAGATAACATATCATTTCACGAATTTAATTAAAGAACTCTACATAATTCCCAACTTGGGTTATGAATAATAACATGGTAATTCTAATTTATTTTCACAATATCTATTGTAGGTAATTCCCATCTACTCGAATTTAGGATTCTAAGATCACCTTACGGAATGAACAAGAGCAAGGATTCCGGACCACTCAACGGAATCCAACAACATTGGGTTCCGGACCACTCAAAGGAACCAAAATATCAAGTGGTTTCTCATAATCTACCCAGACTTGTCATATGTAAACTCAATGCCAATATTATGGAATTGGTGCACTGGCAAATCAGGCACTCAGATAAGCTGAGAGGCTCGGGTGAGGGACAATAAAATAAGTATGTGATACAATAATAAAACCAGTCATCAATCACAATTTATAAACCTTGAATATAAATATTTCATAAGAAATCAATACCAAACTTTTGAAAACTCCGAGGGAGTCACCCAGACATCCAAAAGTTCATTTCAAACAACCATAACATCTCACACCCATATTCACATACACACAATGAAAGTAGAATTAGGGCGACACAGTTCATCCAAAGCCTAGACCTTTGCAACTATCTTAAACTAAACTCAATGAACTAAGGTGGATACAATTCAGGACCATCACTCAACGGGATCGCGGAGTAAGAATGATTCCGGACCATCACTCAACGAAACCCAAACCAAGATACGATTCCGGACCATCACTTAACGGAATCATGGAGTGGAGTAGGAAGGATTCTGGACCATCACTCAACGAAGTCCAAACCAAGATACGATTCCGGACCATCACTCAACGGAATCGCGGAGTACATTGCATAATCACCAATCAATGAAACGGTTACTCAAGTTATAAAGGCTCAACGAAACAAGAAATGAAATAATGAAACAAGCATTGACACATGTTTTGAAGCAACAAACCCCATGACAATGGGTTAACGGTCCACCACTAGCCCTCACCTTCATCAAATCAAGCCAATCACACAAAACAAACCATATTTTCAATATGCACGTCAAATCCCACTTCATATAACTACATCATTGGCTAAATATAAAAATTAACAATTTATAGGAAAAATGATTATAAAACCATTTCATATTCACATATATTAAAGTCACTCACATTTCATCATATCATACCATCTATGTAAATCAACCACCTTTCGAATATGCACATCAAATCACATATCACGATCATCATCAGTACACAAGCCAAATCATGTTTAATAAACATAGGTCTATGGCTATATATATATATAATCACATTATAAAACCAAGTCAAATTCATAGAAGATACCAATATAAGAAATCAAGGTAAAAACCATATCATATATGTTCAAGTCACTCTCTAACCAATGTAGGCCCACTAGACTTCACTTAAGTCTCCCATAGTACTAATTCTATTATTTAGAACGTTCCAACACATGTTGACCACAATTCAACTCTCGGTCAACGATGGGGTCCACAATGATCCGCAAATTAGATTTATGATCCATAACTTCCCAAAGTCCACATTATGCTTCGAGAATAATATACTAAAGTTTCATTATGATCCAACGGTCGGATTGTCGTCAATCACACAAACAAGTGGCGGTCCAAATTGATCACCACACCAAACAATTGAATCTTTGGAAACTAAGCTAGACATAGGTTTACAGGGTCACTAGAAGGTATTTGAAACCTAGACAACACTTGTGAACGATCCCACGCACCGCCACACGCGGTGGAAGTCAAGATGGAGGGTTTAGAAACCTTGAATTTTCAACATTAACTAGATGAGCTCAAATTTATGTGGTAGCTAGAGCTCAACAAGGGAAACATTTTTCACAACTAGACCGACAATAAATTCTAACCTGAAACTATTCAAATTCACCGGAGAAAACCGGATTTCTAGGGTTCTAAACACCTAACTCTAAAATGAATACAAAAGCACAAATTAAGCATACCAACTTGAAGATTATGAAGAGTAGATGAAGTTTCATACCTCACTCGAAGGAAATCGTTGCCGGAATCGCCGGAAAAATGATAAAACTGCAGGAAAGTCGTGGGCTTTGCGACCTCGAACTGCAAAGATGGAAAAGAAATGGGGAAATCTAACATCACAAGATGTAGGGCTCGTCAAGAGCTTTCGATGGACACCAAGATCTCCCAAAACGGAACTCGGATGAAGAAGATACAAACGGGTCAAGTTTGGTGGGTTTATGGGTCCAAGTCTCCCTAAAACGGGTTAGTAACAGTTTTTTTTTTTGTTTTCCCATTTTTCAGAAACCTACTCCTTTACTAGAGGTTTCACTCCCATTTATAGCATTTTGGTAAAATTGCCAAAATGCCACCAACTTCAAACGACTCTAACTTCTCCATTCTGACTCGGAAATAAGATCTGTTTATGGCTACGCGCTCATGGAATCGAACTCTACCTAACCATTTCAAGAGTTGACTGAAAAGGTCAAGAAAATTAGAAATAACTAAAGTACCCCTCACTTCGTTTTTCTTAAATTTGGAGAAATAAAGAACTAGTTCCAATCAAATCTTCGAAATACTTCAAGAATAAAATAAAATAATAATTTTGAGGATGGGATATCACAAGAAGAGATATACAAAGACTTTATTGGATAAAATGACTGATCTTGGGTTGTTGCATCACTTTCTGGGACTAGGTGTTTTGTAGATTGAATCTTTGCATTTTCTTGCACTAGAAGAAATATGCAAAGAATTTATTGGATAAATTTGGTCTCAAGGATTGCAAGTCTGTTGCTACTCCTCTTATAGTGAATGAAAAACTGTCTAAAGTTGATGGAAGTGAACAAGCTAATTGCTGCAAACCAGATATCATGTTTGCAGCAAGTTTGCTAGCCAGATTCATGCATAATCCTGCCAGAAAACATATGGGAACAGCCAATAGAGTGCTTAGATACATTTAAGGCACACTTGACTATGGAATAGCTCATGAAAAAAGGAAAAAAGCAATGCAAATTAGCTATTATGATAGTGACTGATCAGGGAGTGATGATGATATGAAGAGTACATTTGGATATATGCATTTAATCTTAGTTCAGTCGCATTTTCTTGGGCATCAATCAAGCAAAGTAGTGCAGCTCTCTCAACATCAGAAGCAGAATATGTTAGTGCAGCAGAAGCCATTGCACAAACAATCTGGTTGAGATCAAATAATCTGGTTGAGATTTGTGCCTTCAGATTTTGGTGAAGAATAGGTTGAACCAACACAAATTCTATGTGACAATACTTTTGCTATAGCAATAACCAAGAATCCAATGCATCACCACAAAACAAGACATATAAACAGAAGATTTCATTTCATTCGAGATGCTTTTGCAAGATGGAGAAATTGATCTATTGTATTGTAAAATTGAAGAGCAAGTAGCAAACATTTTTACCAACGTTTTGGCCAAAGATCGATTTGAATATCTGAGGAAGGCACTTGGAGTAATCTCAGAACAACACTTAGAAGGGAGTGTTAGAATATAAGTGTTTGTGCTAGAGATGTATTTGATCAAGTCTTAGTTTTCCAGTTTTAATGTGAACCGTTGGATTATAGTCTAAATGTGCAGCTAAGATGTAATCCTAGAGTTAGTGATCTGTGTTGACACTTGTAACTATCTTATAGGATAAATTACATGGATGGTTGGATTTGGTTGTAATGGAAAGAAAGAATCTCCCTCTCTCTTTCTCTCTACGGTAATATATTCTCACACATATTTGGTGTGAGGTGTGATGAATGCAAGCATTTTTGTGAAAAGCATTCCCCTCTCTCTCTCTCTCTCTGCAACTTCTGTAAAATTTCAGAAAATTTACATCATCATTTTTTATAATTTCCATTAAACTGAGATCATACTCGCTTATATTTTAACAAATATGACATTTCTGTGGGTATTAGGCCTGACCTTGGTGGGGATTCGTCTGTGGTTCCTATAGAGTTTTTCAAACAAACCAAAGAAAAGAGTTTATTAGCAAGTTAGTGTCCTCAAGAACAAGTTTTGAACCACCCAGCTATATGAGGGTTTTTAACACACTGCGGATGGAACTCAACTCTTGAAAGCTTGGGTGGTGGAGTGCCCATGATCATTTGGCCCTTTTTTGCAGAACAACAAACCAATTGTAGGTTCTATTGCAAAGAGTGGGGCATAGGCATGGAGATCAAGGGTGATATTAAAAGAGATTACGTAGAGGGACTTGTGAGAAAGTTGATGGAGGGAGAAGAGGGCAAAGCGATGAGGAAGAAAGCTTGGAATGGAAGAAGTTGGCAAAAGAGGCCACCACTAGTCCCCATGGGTTATCTTTTTTGGACTTGGACTAAATAGTTAACCAGGTGCCTCTATCTCGGAGGAATTAGAGGTGATTAAAAACCTATCCTATATATATGAATCACAGTTTCTTAGAAATTTTCCAGTATGACTCAATAATTGGTGTTTTATGAGAATAAACAATGATAATGTTAATCAGAGTCTTGTTTAATGCCAATAGAATCATTTATATTCCAATCATGCGTCAGATTAGAATGAGTTTTAAGACGAACAATGAGATACAATTTAGGGATCATTAGTGATACAACTTAGGGGTCATCTTTTGTGTTGGCCCAGTGATCTATGTTGGCCCAGGCACAGCCCTTGTATTTTCTTAATGCAATGAAATTTATTTTTCCCGACAAAATTAAAAAAATTAAAAAAAAAACATCAGACAAGCGAAAGACATGAAACAGAGAGATAATATTCAGCAAAACTAACGGAAAACACTATATAAGTATTTCATTTTTTACAAACGATGGCGTTATTAGATTAAATTGTTAGTTGTTAAGAGAAGAGGAATAAGCATGATTGCTTTTTGGTTGCGGTGAAGCACGCCTATATAGGTATCTTATCAAATGTTTTAAATGCACCACATACTCTAAGTGCTTTTAGTTTGGTAAACTTTCTCCTTTTAAGTGCTTGTGATGAACGTATTGGGTACAAAACCAACACTACCATTTATTTCACACTAAAGGAATCACAAACTACAAAAACTAAGGGCATTGTTTAATTATCATTTGGTAAATATTTAAAAAAAAAAAAAAAAAAAAAACTGAAAACTAAAATCAAGCAAAAACTGAAATCTTAAAAAAGTTGCTTTCAGTTTCTAATTTTCTGTTTTCTATTTCTTTCAACAGTTACCAAATAAATTTAAGTTTTCCAAAAAAAAAAAAATGAAAATAAAATATTTGATGACACGGCCTCTAAAAGGTAATAACCTGGAAGAGTCTTTGTCGGCACACACGGGGAATTGAAAACTAGCACCAAATTTCTGAAAATGCATCAGCAAGTGAACATGAGATTGTGCGAGATCGAACCCTAGGTTAAAAGCAACAAGCCAATCATTTCAAATTTTCAATCTAGGGTAAAAGCATTATGTAAATAACTAAATATCATGGGATATCAAGCCAAAACTAAATAGCTGCAGTCCTGTAACATTAACATTAATTTAAGTTTCACATTATTTAATTAATAAATAAAAAGTGATACTTGAGATTTTAGAATAGTTTAATTTATACGTCATTTTGATTCCGGTCCCTAATCAACCTAATTGTTAGAACAAAACCTTATGTGTTTAAATAGTTTAATCAAGATCCATCATTTAAGGGATTTAACTCATACATTTATGCACTCATACCCCACAAATTATAAAATTTAAACAAATCCAAATAATATTGTTACAAATATAAGAGTTACTAAAAAATCAATAATAGAGTAATTTGTTTTTCACATAGTTCTAGCAAAAAAAAAAAAAAATGTACCCACATAATTATTAATATAGTGTAAGAAATAACTATTGATATATTTTAAAACATAAAATAAACACATATAATTAGCATGGGTATGTTCATAAAAAAATATTGGTACAAATTAAATAAAAAATATGGGTACAAACTAAAACTAAAAAGAATATTGGTATAAATTAAAAAAAAAAGATTCAAATTACAAATAGAAGTATATGAAACAAAAAAATAGTAAGAGGATTATATTAGAAAATGATTAATAATTTTGCATTTTTAAATTGACATATAATGACTTGTAAATAATTTAATATTCAAATAATGACATGAATTAAACTCAATGGACCTTGATCAAAAATGAAAAATGAATAAGATTTCAACTAATAAGAATGAGGGATGAAAATCTAATTTATCCTTAATTTATTTTAATACTATGGATATAGAATAGGAATCAGAACGTACAAATGATCAAACAAATTTGAAGACTTACAGAACACAAAATATTAAAATAAATAAGTTCGCCAAAAAAAAAATATCAAAATAGATTAACAAACAAAACATAATGGCACCAACTTGCAGTGCATTACATCACGGATCTCATCGTTTGTGTCCAAGTGTGACTATAAAACTGGTACTGTAGAGACCTCTTCTCAAGCATATTCATTTTCCTTAGCTTTGTCCTAATTGATTTTTGCAAAGAAAAAAAATGGGTTCAAAAGCTATGATAGAGAAACCCCATGCAGTTTTCATACCGTATCCAGCTCAGGGTCGCATAATCCCTATGCTGCAATTAGCCAAACTCCTCAACTACAAAGGCTTTCACATAACCTTTGTGAATAAAGAGTTCAACCACAGACGCCTTCTAAAAGCCCGAGGTCGCAACCCTCTTGATGGCCTCCCCTCCTTTGGGTTCGAAACCATTCCTGATGGCCGGCCTCCCTACAACTGATCTAGAAACCTAGTCTTCCACCCACTGACCTGTTTTTGGCTGTGGACCTGGCTTTTCTGTCTTCTCAGTTTCTATACACTTCTATCCCTTCTTATTTGTAAGGTCACGGTTAAGCTACGTTAACATTTTATATCACTATTGTTTTTTATCTTATTATCTCTATAAAAAAAAATTAATATAAAATATTAACGTGACTTAACCGTAATCGCAAAAAATAAAAAGAGATAAGAGTGTATGAGAACTAAAAGGGTAGAGAAGCCGGGTCCTTTGGTTCTTGAGAGCTCATAAATGTTGCCATAAAGTCCTTGGTTGCCAGAGGGATTGCACGGTGAACGTCAATCCAAACCCCAATCAACGCGCAGATGGAGGTCCCATCCATAAAGTCATCAACATCCAGGCCTCCGAGAAAAGGAGTAGGATTCTTTCCTTCTTAATCTCTTTTTCCTTCCATTCCCTTCTATTTAAACAGTTATAATTACGTCATGTTTACATCTTAACAAGTTAATAGGGGTTTCCGAGTTCTGACAAAAACTAACCAATAATCGATGTGGTGGATTTAAGGCGCCAGACAAAGAAATGGGGCTATCTTAAATGAAAATGAGGGGTCAGATAGAACTTGACAATACTCAAAGGAAGTGGGTTAATGGTGCTCAGGTGGGTTGGTAAAGGATCGACAACGCAGTTAATAGGAGAATCTCATAGGGAGAGGAAGACTCCCATGGAGAAGAGAAAAAAGCGGCAACCCTGAATTTATTTTAATACTAAGGATATAGAATAGGAATCAGAATGTGCAAACAATTAAACAAATCTGAAAACTTATTAAAATAAATAAGTTCACCAAAAAACATTTATTTTAATAAATTTTTTTTGGTGAACTTATTTATTTTAATAACAAACAAAAATTAATGGCACCAAATAAGTTCACCAAAAAAAATTTATTTTAATAAAAAATTTTTGGTGAACTTATTTATTTTAATAACAAACAAAAATCAATGGCAGCAACTTGCAGTGCAGTACATCACGGATCTCATCGTTTGTGTCTAAGTGTGACTAATTTATTGTTGAGCTTGTGAACTAATTGATTCTCTCTCTCCTTGGTATAAAACTGGTACCGTAAAGACCTCTTCCCAAGCATATTCATTTTCCTTAGCTTTGTCCTAATTGATTTTTGCAAAGAAAAAAAATGGGTTCAAAAGGTATGATAGAGAAGCCACATGCAGTTTTCATACCGTACCCAGCTCAGGGTCACATAATCCCTATGCTGCAATTAGCCAAGCTCCTCAACTACAAAGGCTTTCACACAACCTTTGTGAACACAGAGTTCAACCACAGACGCCTTCTAAAAGCCCGAGGTCCCAACTCTCTTGATGGCCTCCCCTCCTTTAGGTTCGAAACCATTCCTGATGGCCTCCCTACAACTGATGTCAATGCCACTCAAGACATAACAGCTCTATGCTTTTCCACTAAGAAAAATTGCTTAGCACCTTTCAAAGACCTTTTGTCCAAGCTCAATTCCTTGCCCAGTTCCCCTCCAGTTACCTGCATAGTTTCTGATGGTGGCATGACCTTCACGCTCGAAGCAGCCCAAGAATTGGGCATTCCAGTTGTTATTTTTGCAACAGCAAGTGCTTGCAGTTTGATGGGCTACCTTCAGTTGAGCCCTCTCATCGAAAAGGGCTTAATACCCCTTAAAGGTACACTAACTACAAATTCCTTCCTGAGTGGTCATTTGGTAACACTGACTATGTACTAAACGTGTTAATTTTTTTAAAAGAATATTAACACCTTAGAATTGTTTCTCAATTTCATTTGCAGATGCAAGCTACTTGACGAATGGGTATTTGGACACGGTTATAGATTGGATACCGGGCATGAGAGGTATCCGACTGAGGGACATCCCAACCTTCTTTAGAACCACAGACCCAAATGACATCATGTTGGAATTTCTTAGGGTTGAAATAGGACGATATCATAGAGCTTCTGCTTTCATTTTGAACACGTTTTATGCCCTTGAGCATGAAGTGTTAGATGCACTTTCCACTTTGCTACCACCTATATACTCCGTCGGACCCCTACATCTACAGCTTAATCAGATCCCAGCAGAGAACGAGTTGAAGTCGATTGGATCAAACCTATGGACAGAAGAACCAGAGTGTCTTGAATGGCTCGACTCCAAAGAACCCAATTCCGTGGTTTATGTCAATTTCGGAAGCATCACAGTCATGACAGAGGAGCAGCTCACTGAGTTTGCTTGGGGACTTGCAAACAGCAATCAAACATTCCTTTGGGTAATTAGGCCTGACCTTGTTGGTGGGGAATCAGCTGTCGTTCCGTCAGAGTTTTCGGAAGAGACCAAAGAAAGAAGTCTAGTGGCAAGTTGGTGCCTTCAACAAGAAGTTCTGAGTCACCCAGCTATCGGAGGGTTCTTGACCCACAGCGGATGGAACTCTACTCTTGAAAGCGTGTGTGGTGGAGTGCCTATGATCTGTTGGCCCGTCTTTGCAGATCAACAAATGAATTGTAGGTTCAGTTGCAAAGAGTGGGGCATAGGCATGGAGATAGAGGGCGATGTGAAAAGAGATTACATAGAAGGACTTGTGAGAAAGTTAATGGAGGGAGAGGAAGGCAAAGAGATGCGGAAGAAAGCCCAGGAATGGAAAAAGTTGGCAACGGAGGCCACCACTAGTCCTAATGGCATGTCTTTTGTTGATTTGGACAGAATCGCTAGCCAGGTCCTTCAATCTCCAGTAAATTAGAATTGCTTAAAGTTCTGTCTAGTTATTGCTTTGTATTTGGGCTTAGCTTGATATCAAATTACTGGTTAGTTGCTTAATAACATGTGGAGCCCGATGCCATGTTATCAATTAGATGATTTGTTAAGCTGAGAACTTTAGCCTACACCGATTTGCTCAAGATCTTATAGTTGTTGATTATCTCACCCTTAAGTGGAAGGCTATATCGAGGCTAGTCAATGGAGAGTGCGATTAAGCTAAAAGGTGAATGAACTCAAGGAGAAATTGCTTCAACCATGGCTGATAGAAAGGCAAAGAATGCTATTGTTTCTAACATTTCGTCTAATAAGTTTGCTCATGTTTGATATTGCACAACTGCAAAGCAAGCTTAGGACAAACTCTAAATTCTTCATGAGGGTGATAAACAAGTGAGAGATCTAAAACTCCAAATGACTCTTTCAAAATTTAAGGATTTGAGAATACTCAAGTCTAAGACATTCTCAGTTTTATATGAGAAAGTTGAAATGTTGACAAATCAAGCCTTGGGGTTAGGAAAGCCTATTGATGAAACAACGTTGTTCAAAAAAATTTGAGAACCTTACCCAAGAGATATGCTTCTCAAAAAGAGGTTGCCGGATTGTGGATAAACATAGAAAGAATTTGCTTATACTCTCAAGATCTGGAGACAATTGCTACATTCTTGATGTCTCTAAAATTGCAGAATACTCTATGTGCCATAAAACTATTGATGAAACTAGCGTATTGTGGCATAACAGACTTAGGCATGTGAACTTCAAAGACTTCAAGAAATTATCCAAACATGAGGTTGTTAGGGGGCTGTCACCTCTTTCTGTTTCTAACTTATATGTTTGCGGATCATGTTAGTTAGGAAAGCAATCTAGGATGGCTCACAAGAAAGTGACTGACATTAGAACAACTAAGCCTCTTCCATTGATTCATATGGATCTTGTTGGACCAATTCAGACCTTATCTCTTGATGGTAAGAAGTACATCTTAGTAATTGCAAATGACTACTCTAGGTTCACTTAGGTATGATTTTTAAGGAAAAATCTGATACCTTTCAACGGTTCTTCACTATGTACAAAGTAATGTTGAATGAATCTCTATCTAGCCATCTTGCTCTAGTCAGAATCAGAACTGATCATGGAACCAAATTTGAGAATGCTCACTTTGACGATTTATGTTCAACAAATGGCATCAAGCATGAATTTTCTGCTCCAATCACGCCTCAACAAAATGGTGTATTGGGAAGGAAAATTTGTGTTGATAGAGATGATTAGGGTGCTACTGAACAGCATAAACTTGGCAAAACACTTTTGGGCCGAGGCCATGAACACCGTTATTACATCTCAAATCGAGTGTTTCTCAGAAGTGGCACTAATGTGACACCTTATGAACTCTAAAAGGGTAAGAAGCCAATGGTAAAGTGTTTCAAAGTATTTCAAAGTCTTCGGGAGTGTTTGCTACAGTTTACGTGATCGAGAACATCTAGCAAAGTTTGATATTAAGAGTGATGAAGGAATCTTCTTGGGGTACTTTAACACAAGTCGGGTTTATAGGGTTTACAATCTAAGAACAAAACCCATCATAGAGTCTATAAATGTCAAGATTGATGACACTAATGTCCATCCCTCTTTGGCAACTGAAAATGATGATGTGTTATTTCCCTCTACTAAGGATAGCAGTGATCCTTCTATTGAGTCAAGTGTGGTGTCAAAAAGTGACAATGAGAGTGAATTAAGCACTGATCAAGATTCTCATGTCATACTCAAGGATAAACCAAAGTGGGCCAAAGGTCATCGTGATGAGGAAATTATGGATCCAATTGCCAAAGACGTTAGAACTCGAAGACAAATAGCTGATGAAGTTGCAAATGTTTGCTATGTCTCCCAGATTGAGCCCAAGAATATCAAAGATGCCCTAACTAATGAAGAATGGATATTTGCCATGCAAAAAAAGCTGAATATGTGAGAGGAAGAAATCTAGTTGTTTGTCGATCGTCCATCGAACACTAACGTTATTGGCACTAAATGGATTTACAAGAATAAGTTTGATGAGTCAGGAAATGTGATAAAAATAAATAAATAAATAAGGCCAGACTTTTTGCTCAAAGATACTCTCAACCTGAAGCTGTTGATTTTGATGAAACCTTCGCTCATGTTGCTCGTCTTGAATCAGTCAGACTTTTTTGTGCTATTACATGCCATTTAAAGTTCAAGCTTTTCCAAATCGATGTCAAAACCGCATTCCTTAATGGATATCTTAATGAGCAAGTCTACGTGGAACAACCTAAGGGTTTTGAGGATCCTCACAGGCCATATAGGTGTACAAATTGAGGAAGGCTCTCTACGATCTTAAACAAGCCCCAAGTTCCTGGTATGACAGGTTGTCTTCTAATCTTCTTACCCATGGTTATACTCATGGCTCTATTGATAAAATGTTGTTTGTTAAAAAGGTTAAATCTCATGTTGTGATTGCTTAAGTGTATGTGGATGACATAGTTGTTAGGTCTACTTCTGATTCTCTTGTGAAACAATTTATCGATATGATGACAAGTGAATTTGAGATGAGCTTGGTTAGTGAATTAAACTACTTCCTTGGACTTCAAGTGAAATAAGAAAATGATGGCATCTTCATCTCTCAAACAAAGTATGCCAAGAACTTGGTGAAGAAAGCTTACTCTACCTGACTGCTAGTAGACCAGACATCACATTTGTTGTTGGAGTATGTGCACAGTTTCAAAGTTGTCCCAATAAGTCTCACTTACAAGCAACCAAGAGGGTTATCAAGGATGTGTGTGGCACCACTGATTATGGACTTCAATATACTCATGACACCAACATAAACTTGGTTGGGTTTAATGATGTTGATTGGGCTGGTTGCATTAATGATCGAAAAAGTACCTTTAGGGAAGCTTTCTATGTTGGGAACAATTTGGTTTCTTGGCACAACAAGAAGCAAAATTGTGTCTCTTTGTCTATTGTTGAGGCAGAATATGTGGCTGACAGGAGTTGTTGCACTCAACTAATGTGGATGAAACACATGCTCAGTGACTACGGTATATCTCAATCCACTTTTCTTGTTTATTGTGATAACTTGAGTGCAATTTATATTTCTAAGAACCTTGTCCAACATTTGAGAACCAAACACATTGACATCAAGCATTACTTCATTAAAGATCTAGTGGAAGGTAAGATACTTACCCTAAACTTTGTGCCAACCGAAAAACAACTAGCTGACATATTCACTAAAGCCCTAAATAATTGAAGGTACAAAGATCTTCCATGGTCTATTGGTCTTTCTGCTATAAACTAAATTGTTTAAATAGCTACGCTTCCAGGTTGTGTCTGTCTTGTCAGAATGCTCATCAGATACCTATGTTTTGTCTCTCTATATGCTTATCTTAATTGTCATACATTCATGATATTTTTGGGATTATTGTTGGATAATTATTCACTCTAATGTCAAGGGTTCTCCCTATTGTCTTGATAGCTTCTGAAAAATCATGTTTCCATCATCCAAACCTTAAGGTGATTTTGGTTTTAGACTTGCTTTGGTTCTATGTGATTGGTAGTGACTTTACTTACTCTGTAATCTAAACCAAGTGTCATTTCCCTTGTTCCTTTTTGTCTCTCCCCAAAATAAAATATAAAAAAAAAAATTTAAAAGGGAGTATATGAACATCGAAAACAACAAAGGGGGTTTTACTTCAAGAAATATTATCATCGATCAAGGGAAAATCTCTTCAAAAGTATCCTTTCATGCAATGTCATGGGGTGTTTCAATGTCTCAAATTCCCTTCCACAGGTCATACATCAATGTGGTTCATAAATTATACACTTCTCTCAAATGACCTTGACATCTCTCAATTGGTGTCTCACTCAAAGTCTCACAAAATGTGCTCCCTTCATTCAAGGCCTTTACCTTATTTTGCACGTCTTGTCCTTTGTTTATATTATATAGGAAGTGTTCTCTCTTAAGGTCAATGAATTTTTAAAAGCTTGGTTAAAATTGGCATGATCCTTTTGGTTAAGTGCTTGGATCTATGATTTTAAGATGGCTATCCCAAATCCTTTTTCTCATACCTTGACACATCACTGCAGGATAATGAGCTTGTGTTAATCTCATTATTAATGTTTGTGTATGCCTTTGGAGATTTGTCCATTGAGAACTGCATTGCACATCTACTTTTTGTGTTCTTCAAATTACATATCTCTAGGAAGCATAGATATTCAAGCCACATCTTAGTTCATTCTCTTACTGGTTGTTATGTTGTTGGTTGTCTATTGGTGCAAATCTCTAATTCAGTGTGGTAATCTTGTTCAAGAGTTGGTAATATTGCAAGCATCATTTCTGGGGAAGTTTCCATTTTTTTGGGGGGCCGCGCTGGGGGGTGGGGGGGTGGTGGTTTTCATTTTGTGCTTACTTGTTGCTACACTTTGCTTGGTCCATATGATCTATTGCAAATTATTTATCTGATGTGCTTTTGTTGTTCTTGTCCTGTGTATTTGCACCAAATTTGACTATTCTGTGCAATTTTCCACCTTGTCTTTGTTTTACCATGACAAAATGGGAGAAAAAATTTTAGTTGTGTTTCATACCTTGCAAGCCTTTATTACCCATGATAAATTTCACTTGTTCTTGTCTAGAGTTGTTCATATGTAGGAATCATTCCTTGGTTCTTATCTTGAGTGTGGGTGAGTGAAATTAGTTCTAGGCTTGTGGTATTTTGTCAAGGAAAGCCAAAGGGGGGGATTGTAAAGTCTAGTCTTAAGTGTTTGGCTTTCCTTGTCAAATATTGTATTTGTGTACCACATGCTCAATTTAGCTTTAGACTATATTCTCTGGCTATGAGCTGCTGTTGCTGTGAATAAACGTTCAAGGTTATGACACATCTCACTTCAAAAGGTTTGGTCATGCATGTGCATTTCATTTTTAAATTAATGTTACTTTCTGACTAGCTTAGTTGTCTCGTCAGTTTTGCGCGCCAATTTCCAGCTATTGGGCACACAATTTAAGGTTTGCCCATATAGGCTTTTTGACAGCTTTTTGCTGATAGTCAATCTCAGCCCTTGATCGTTTCTGATTAGTTTGTAGTTCAACAAGCGTCCTTGGTAGGTGAAAAATAAGTTGATGCTTTTGGGT